TAATTTTAAAAAAATAATCTTTTGTATATGTGTGTGTGTAAACTAGAAAGTATGCAAATTAAATAAACAGATTATTTTATTTAGGTAAATAAGGTCATAACCATAAAAAATAAAATAAAATTTCCAAAATATATGATTAATATTAAAACAAATAAATATGAATATAGATATAAAAATCTCTATAAAAGAAATAAATTGTATCCTTAAATGCATAAAATATTACAAATAATTTTAGTATGTATGTATAGAATATTTAATTTAGATAGAGAAGGTTATAAACATACAACAAAACACAAAATAAAAATTTAAAAACATAAGATTCACATTAAAAAGAATATAGTTGTAATAAAAAGAAAATATGTAAATTGGCTATAAAAAGTGAAAAGTTATATTTACACCTTGCCTCTTTGGCATCCAACCACCTCACCCTGCCCCTTTAACCTTTGAAAACCTTGAAACAGTGTTGTAACATGTGTGGACAACATTGATAATAGGCTTATTGAATAAGGTTATTTATCTCCCAGCCTCTAACTTGAGATTTCTTAACATGTTTTCTATTGAAGGAATGCATACAGAGATGGCATTTATACAGGTAACACTATCAAAAGAGATTATTGGATATGAAAAAAGAGAATAAACTGTTATATTCAAAGAGGTTCAGATAAGAGGACCATTGTGAAGTGTGCCATAATTAAAGAATACACTTTGATGTCTACTCAATGCCCCAGGCCTGGTGAGTCTTAGGTGGTAGTTGGTTGAATGGCCTCCAATTCTTAAGGCCCACATGAGAGGGGCATGACAGTTGGCAACCTCAATGGAAAGGTTGTTCTTTTTCTGATAAGCAATGGAAAGGTTGTTCTTTATTGCAAAAAGTATTGACCAACTGAAAGGGTTTATCAATGGGGCACAAAATATAACTTATTTGGTTGATTATCAATTTCCATCAATTCATAGCAATGGTTCATTAAGCAAGGGAGTGCATTTATTATTAATCAATTTCTTTCCTATAATACATTATACATTAACTAGATTCATTAGTTAATTTAGTCATATTTGTCATTAAGTAAAAAATTAGATATTCCATAGTTACTATTGACTTCCAAAGGAAAGTATACACTGGTGCAATGTTTTAAAAAACAACCCAGAACCAGAACCAGTGTTTTAAAAGCGCAAGGGAAAATTTGCGCCTAAGGCGCAAGGCGAGGCATGTGTCTTTTTAAGCAAGGCGCAAAATTACAAAAAAAGAAAAGAAAAAGCTAAAAAATCAAAAAGAAAGTCAGAAAATTCAAAAAAATGACAAAAATTAAAAAATGCAAAATAATGTTAATAAAAATATAAACTTAAATTTTAAAATAAATGTTTTAAAAAACCTATTATCTAAAATTAAAATACATAAACATAACATGTAAAGTGTATTCAAATGAAATTTTAAAAATAAAAGCAAACATATAAAGCATTTTCAAGCATGTAAAACCCACAATCTCAGCCTAGGTGCGCGCCTTTTAAAATTGAACTTTTTGCCTTTTTTTTAGTCTAACGGTTGGGCTGGGGGCTCTGCCCCCAGACCCCTAATCACGCCCCTTGAGGCAAGCCCGAAAAAGTCTATGTTAGGGTCTGAAATTCTTATTTCTCACATAAAAAATAATGATTTTATAACTTTCATTGCCTTTTAAGAAGATATTTTAATGCAATGAATGAATGAACAACATTAGCAAATAGGGGGTTCTCGGAGCCTTGGTGAGCAAGTGAACCTCCTATTTGCTCCGAGAACCCCCTATTTGCTAGTGTTGTTCATTCATTCATTGCAATAAAATATCTTCTTAAAAGGCAATGGAAGTTATAAAATCATTATTTTTTATGTGAAAAATAAGAATTTCTGACCCTAACATATACTTGTTCGGGCTTGCCTCAAGGGGCGTGGTCGGGGGTCCAAGGGCGGAGCCCCCGGCCCAACCGTTAGACTCAAAAATAAAAGCAAAAAGCACAAAATTTTAAAAAGGTGCACACCTAGGTTGAGGCACAAGGCGCATCAAGCGCACGCCTAAGCGCACTAGGCTTGCGCCTTTTGAAAGGGTGCCTAGGACCTGGGCGAGGCGCATACCCCAAAATGCACCTCCCCTATGCGCCTCAGGCACACCTTTCAAATCACTGACTGTAACCATTCTAGCCACTGGTTTCCGGGTCGACAGTTTGAACGGATGGCCCGTTCTGACAAAAAATTAAAAAAAAAAAAAAGGCCAAAACCCGTTGGACGGGTTCACGGTTTGACTGCCCAGGTCAACGGGTCATTGACGATTCAACGGTTTTTGGTCAGGGACCAAGTTTGGGGTAAAATGGAATCAGTTGCCTGGACAGTTCCCAGGCCAAACAGTCCGACCATCCGGGTCAACAACGGTTTGAAAACATAGTTTTCAAGGTGCCAAGGCGAGGCTAGGCAACAGGGGGGCGACTAGGCATGAATTTTTTTTAAGTAAAACCATATATCCTAGGGTAGTTCCCTAGGTTCCATAACCATATTACCTTAATAATTATTCATAATTTTCATAAGAAATGTATAAGTTTCATGTTTAAGTCTAGAAAATCAACATTTTATGAGAAGAAAAAGAATAAAGTAAAGAAAATTCAAAAAATATAGGGGTTGAACCCCTACTTTTGTTATAGGAAAGAAGAAAAGAAAAGGTGGAAGAAGAAGAAGA